CAAAAACTCTCAACCAGATTACTGCAAAATCCCAACAAATTACTTTTTTACAGGAAGAAATTCTTCACAAAAGAATTGAAGAACAGTTAACAAACAAATCTTTATTAGATTCTATTCGCCACTTTTCTGATAAGCTTACTAAAGAAATTTGTTCAGATCTTCCAAATGCTTTTTGGCATAGAAAACAACATATTGTCAAACTCCCTTATATTAAAGATTTTGTTGAATAAAAAATCCCCACCAAGGCACGACCGATTCAAATGAACCAAGAAGTTTTAGAGTTTTGTAAAACCAAAATTAATCAACTTTTAGAAAAAGGAATTATCCGTAAAAGCAAATCTCCATGGTCTTGCCCTGCTTTTTATGTCCAGAAAAATGCAGAATTAGAACGCGGCGTTCCACAATTAGTTATTAACTACAAACCTTTGAATGATGTTTTAGAATGGATCCGATATCCAATCCCCAACAAAAGAGATTTGATAAAAAGACTTTCTCAAGCAACTGTTTTTTCCAAATTTGACATGAAATCAGGCTTTTGGCAAATTCAAATTCATGAATCTGATAAGTACAAAACTGCTTTTGTAACTCCTTTCGGACACTATGAATGGAATGTAATGCCTTTCGGTTTGAAAAACGCACCAAGTGAATTGCAAAATATCATGAATGAGATTTTTAATCAATACAGCCATTTTTCGATTGTTTATATTGATGATGTATTAATTTTCTCAAAATCAATAGATGAGCATTGGAAACATTTGCATGCATTTGTTAGGATCATTAGATCTAATGGGTTAGCCGTCTCGGCATCTAAGATTAAGTTATTCCAAACCAAAGTTAGATTTTTAGGTTACCATATTTACAGGTCTACCATTCAGCCAATTGATCGAGTCATCCAGTTTGCTGATAAATTTCCAGATCAAATTATTGATAAAACCCAGCTTCAGAGATTCCTTGGTTCTCTCAATTATGTTTCAGAATTTTATCCTCATCTTCGTCAACAATGTAAACCTTTGTTTGATCGTCTCAAGGAGAATCCTCCATCATGGTCTCAAAATCATACTTCCATTGTTAAACAGATAAAAAATCATGTCAAGACTTTACCTTGCCTTGGCATTCCAACTCCCGACTCTCTCAAAATAGTCGAGACCGATGCTTCTGATATCGGTTATGGAGGTATCCTCAAACAAAAAACTTCTTCCGAATCTCCTGAACAAATTGTTCGTTTCCATTCAGGAATTTGGAATCCGGCTCAAAGTAACTATAGTACTATTAAAAAAGAGATTTTATCAATTGTATTATGCATTAGCAAATTCCAAGATGATTTATTAAATCAAAAATTTTTAGTTCGTGTTGATTGCAAATCTACAAAACATGTTTTACAAAAGGATGTTCAAAATATTGCATCAAAACAAATTTTTGCACGCTGGCAAGACATATTAAGTATTTTTGATTTTGACATTGAATACATTAAAGGCAGCCAGAATTGCATACCAGATTTTCTGACCAGAGAATTTTTGCAGGGGAAGAATGGGTTCCAATCCTAATCAAAGAAGGCTTCCAGCCACTCTCACCCAAACCCCAGCACCAGTAAAACAAGAGTCTATTCCCGACTCTTCATCGGCCCTCGCCATTACAAACAGATTTACTCCCTTAGGATCAACAGTAGGAAATATCCGACCAAACTACCAAACGGCCTTAGCCACCCCTTATGATCCCTACTCTTCAGTTCGTTCTCCAGCTCCTTCACAGCCTAAAACACCTAGCTATGCTAAAACATCCCCATATGTCCAAAATCCCAATTCAGAAAAGCTTTTTAGCATCCCTCTTCACATTGACAAAAACCAACCCCCAGAGCGCATTGCCAAATTACTCCTTCCACCAAATTTTCATTTCTTACCAACTGAATCCTATAAAAGCCTAAAATATTACCAGGCTATCCTTTCAGAAACAGAAAGCATTGCTATTAAGCCAATTTACAGTACCACTCATCAAAACAAAATATTGTATCATTCACTCCATATTGGAAAATTCCTTACCGAACTCGAATGGGGAATTCCCCTTTATCACACAAAACTCCTTCATACTCAGCATGTCCTCATCCCAAACAATCATTACAATTACTATGATTATATCCAAGCATGGACCAACATTTTTCTCCACCAGACAGAAGACTTTAGTCATTCATGGTTCGTAACCTTTGATAAAAATTTCAGATTACGGTTTCCTGCATGGTTTCCAGATTGGTGGGCTTCCCATGGCCCAAGCTCTTCTATCATTCCAGATGACCTTCGTCATGTACTCACAAACAATTTCCAACCCAGTTTTGACAGAAGTCGTTTCGACAACAGAGTTACTATTTTTTCACTGCTCATGGCCAAGTATAAGATTCCATGGATTCTCAAATGGAACTTTGAAGTAGACACTGGTGGTATTTACAGATCCCGATGGGTAAAATGGTGGGATAAATTCAACCACCAAAAAATTATTGATCTTGTAAAAATGAAATTTCCCCAGATATCTTCTCAGGCGCTGCCAATCAAAGTTTCAACTTCGTCCCCACAAGCTTTGCCAGTTCATCAACAATTTCCTGAGTTGCAAAAAACCCAGGAGCCAATTCAATCCCTATCAGACATTAGTCCGTCATCTTCCCTCAAAGGAAAACCTGCTAAGTCCTCTAGCTCGAAGAAAGAAAAATCTGCAAAGTCTACCCAGCTTCTGGATATGGCCCAACTGCTCATGGCTGAAGCAGCAATGCTACAAAAAAGAAAAGGTTCAGATTCGGACTCTGACGCATCTGATGCCTCATCTCAACTTCCCTCCAAATGGGCAGATCAAGCAGATCTTCAAGATGCCCAGGACCCATTTGATTATTAACCTACAGTATTTGCCCATGTGATTGTGCCAGCCAAACAACATCATCAGCAGTAGCTGCTATCATCTCTTCCGTAAAAGACAAGGCATTATTCTCCAATAGTGAAAAACAAAAAGGTCACTGTTCATCCAGCTTTTGTAAAAGAATCAAAGCATCTTCACTATTCATTTAACTTTTGTAAAAGAATCAAAGCATCTTCACTATTCATTCAACTTTTGAAGAAGAAACAACGTGATTACACAGCTTTGTCAGCCTTCTTCAGAAGACAGCGGGATTCCCGGATCCATTTGGCAAGCCTCATTCAGTCTCCTCGCTCTTTATAAGGAGGACTCATCTTCAGAGGACGGATATAGTTTTTTAAACACTCTCTGCGTATTCAAAAGAACAGAGAATATTTCCAAACACTTGTAATACATATTATTCAGGATGCCTGCGAGCTCCACCTTGTTTACTTATTTCATCTGCCATTAGGCAATACCTGTTTGTAATCTGCATTGCAGTAAGTTTTCAATAAAACTTATTTTCAAAAATATATTTGCATCATTACATTTAATTCATTATTTTCTTTATATGCTTTACTTTCGCACTCTGAATTATATGGAAGGCTATGCCTCCTGCTGCTATTTTATATTTTACTTCCGCACTTTATATTCTATGGAAGGCTTTGCCTCCTACCAGTAGTTCTGCCCCATTTCGCTATGCCTCCTACCAGTAGTTCCACCCCATTTGGTAATATATATATCTATATATATCTATATATATATATTCCAACACTTCTTGCCAAAGGTTAAGCTTTGCATTTACTCTCTCCTATGTTTTATCTATTAGCACTATATCATTTGCGAAAAGCATAACCAAAGGATATCATCTTGAGTATGTCTTGTTAACTTGTCCACTACCAACGCAAAAAGGTAAGGACTTAAAGTCCCTATGAGATGTGGATGAGGTTGGAATCTAAAGGTTTTCGCTTAAGTAGGTCAAAGATATAGTATATGGAGTGCAAGTTCAGTGGCAATAGAAGTCCAAATGAGATAGGATGAGGATTGGAGATCAGGAAGTACCAAAGAGTGAAGCGTTATCTTGGATGTATCTTGCAAAAGAGTGGAGAATTAGATGGAGATCTCAACCATAAAATACAAGCTGGATGGATGAGTGCATTAGATGTGTTGTGTGATCATCGTATGATACTAAAGTTTAAGGGAAAATTTTATAGGATGGCAAATAAGACCATCAATGCTTTATGACACAAAATGTTGGGCAGTCAAAAATCAACACGTGCAAAAAATGAGTGTAGCAGAGATGATAATGCTTCATTGGATTTGTGGGCACACATAAAGGATATGATAATGAACGAGGATATCCGAGATAAAGTAGGAGGGCTGCAATTGAAGATAAGATGGAGAACATCGGTTAAGGTGGTTTGGACACGTAAACTGAAGACCTACAGATGTTCTGGTTAGAAGATGCGACTATAAGAGGGAGGCTCAGGGAAAAATGGGTAGATGAGGACCTACAAAGACTTGGAAATAGATTTTAAGAAAAGATATGGAATACTTGGAACTAGCAGAAGACTTGGAGCAAAACTAAGCACATTTACGTTCTAAGATTCATATAACCAATCCCATTTAGTGGGGTAAGGTTTGGTTGTTGTTGTTGCGGTATTATAATAATTTTAGGTACTGTTAGGTTATCGCATTAGCCGAGACTAAGCTATCCATTAAATGCCTTAACTTCGCCTTTACTTTTTAAAACATTGAGATATATATATATATATATATGTATGTATGTATGTATGTTTTCATTGATTAGTATTACAGTACAATCAATTTGTTGGAAAGCGAAATAACATTGATACCTTGCGGCTGGCAAGTTTTCTTTCTCTGTAGCCTGTAGACTACGAGTCTTGGTCAAGTTTTCCTGAGTCCTTTACTTGGTTGCTAAGCAAAATATCAACTACAACTTACAGGTGTCCAGGTATCTGTGCCATTTTCCCCTAAAAAAGGAAGAAAAAGAAAAAGCACATGAATCATAAAGTAATTGAAAACATTGATACCCACTGGCTGGCAAGTTTTCTCTCTCTCTGTAGCCCGTACATTACTAGTCTTGGTCAAGTTACTTGCTAAGCAAAATATTTCAGTACATACTTTAAATAAAAAGGAGAGCCACGCTAATTGAAGCCATTGGCTTCATCAATATTCATTAAACTCGAGTCATTGCGACTATCATCCGAAGATCGATCAATTTGTACGTAATGGATCGTCTGGAGGAGAGTAATAAGTTGAACAATTATGGACTTGCAGCAGGTCGAGGCTTAATCAATGTCGTATTCTCTTGGTCACTTAAGGATGTTCTCAATGCAAAGCTTTACGAAAATCAGGTTAATTTGTACTGTGTCCACTGTCCGGTTCTTACTAATTTCTTTCTTATTCGATCATGTACTTGTCGCTCGTATTGTAAAATTACAACGACAATTTTCCTTTCATTTCAACTTACAGGTGACAAAGATTCCTGACACATTTTCTACCACGATGAGTTACATGAAATCTTTCATCCCTTCACTTGTTGAGGAAACACATGCTGATCTACTATCAAGCATGACGAATCTATCAAAGGCACCTACTTGCGAACTTCTGACTGTTACGGCTTCTGAGAATCATGGACCTCGTAAAGACTTGTTTTATGATGTTACTTGTGTAGGAACGTATGTGCCACAGGTTGGAGATCTCATTGCCTTGACTGATATTAAACCAAAATGCGTTGATCATTTGAACAGGTCCAGAAATTCGTATCTCATTGCGTATGTTCATCAAATTAGAGTAAATAATCTCTCAATACTCTTGTCAAAGCATATCGATACAAGAGGATACACGCATACTGTGGGCAAGAGGGAAACAATGTTTGCTGTCTATTTGATGAACATGACAACAAATATTCGTGTATGGAAAGCCTTGAATTCAGATGACGCAAACACAAATCTAATTAAGACTCTGTTGCAAGTGCAACCCAGTTCATCACAGGTATTAATCTTCTGTCATTCCTTCAACACCATGTGCATTAAACCTGCTTATTCATTTTAGATTGTTAATAATTCTTTTATGTTTGTGTATTACAGGGTCGGAGTTCATGTACAATTTGCTTTTCTAAAGAAAAGTGCTTTGATTCCCTTTCGACTAAATGGCCAGAAATGTGGTGTGATCTAAATGAATCTCAAAAAGCTGCAGTTTTAAACTCTATCAGTTTGAGTAAATGCAAACACCAAAATTCCATCAATCTAATATGGGGCCCTCCTGGGACTGGGAAAACGAAGACAGTCAGCATCTCACTCTTTGCCCTCTATAAGTTCAAGTGCAGAACACTAACATGTGCCCCAACCAATATCGCTGTGTTAGAAGTTACAGATCGACTCGTGAGGTTGGTTAACCAGTCTCTTGAGTATGATAAGTATGGGCTTGGGGACATAATTCTATTTGGGAATGGTGAGCGAATGAAGATTCGTAGTTATAATGATCTTTTTGAGGTATTTCTTGATAGGCGTATTAGTATTCTGACCAAGTGTTTTTCCCCGTTGAGTGGATGGAATCATTGGTTAGAATTGATGATAAGTTTACTTGAGAATCCAGAGGGGCAGTACTCATTGTACATAAAGGAAAAACAGAAGCATGACAAGCAACGTAAAGAAAGTGGAAACAGCAACTCATCAAGCGATGATGAGAACAACTTTCTGACACTTGAGAAGTCTGTGAAGGAAATACACATTAAGGATGACATGCATGATGAAGAGAGTGAAAATAGCAGCTCAACAAGCGATGATGACAATGATTTTCTGACGTTCGAGGAGTTTGTGAAGAACCGTCTTGGTTTCATTGGTGAGCATTTGAAAGTTTGTATGGTAAATTTGTACACTCACTTGCCAACATCTTGCATTTCACTTGAGGTGGTGAAAGGCATGATCAGAGTTGCAGGGTTGCTTAAGTCGATTAAATCTATATTTAGTTGGGCTGGTGTTACTAATGAGCAGTTAAAATTACTTCAAGAAGATTGCACTCGTACTCTCAAGTCACTTCGTGCGTTTGCTGTTCCGAGTTCGAATGATGCACAAACAATAAGAAATTTGTGCCTGGCAAAGGCTTGCCTAATATTTTGTACCGCATCAAGCTCTGCCAGACTGCATACAGACGGAATGGTGCCCCTGGAATTGTTAGTCATTGATGAAGCTGCTCAGCTTAAAGAATGTGAGTCAACAATTCCATTACAACTACCAGGTCTTCGCCATGCTATTCTCATAGGAGATGAGAGGCAACTCCCTGCAGTGGTTAAAAGCCAGGTTTCAGTTTTATCCTTCTTACATGCTCTTTGGTATTCATATTATTAATTAGAAGCTTATATATATAATTTGTCTTAACAACTGAATATATTTGATCACTAAACTGCTAGATCTCCGAGAAGGCTGAATTGGGAAGAAGTTTGTTTGAAAGACTTGTACTGTTGGGACACGAGAAGCACCTTCTCAATGTCCAGTACAGGATGCATCCTTCAATCAGCTTGTTTCCAAAAATGGAGTTTTACGACAATCAGATATTAGATGGTCCAAATGTCAGTGAAGTGAGCTACAACAAGTGCTTCCTTGATGGAAAAATGTACGGATCCTACTCATTTATAAACATAGCAAATGGGAAAGAAGAATTTGATCGCGGGCATAGTTTGAAAAACGTGGCTGAGGTTGCTGTGGTTTATGAGATAGTTTCTAGCCTTTACAAAGGTTACTATTGTTGTAAGCTAGTTGATTATGTTCTTAATTTTTCTTAGAATATATATGCTGCTCGAAACATTCTTAGAGTATACCATTTAGTTTTCTTAATTTTTTCTTGTTTTTGACAGAATTCACTCGCACAAAAAAGAAGGTTAGTGTTGGGGTAATATCACCTTACGCAGCTCAAGTTAATGCAATTCAAGAGAGAGTCAAAGAGTATAGTGAAGTTTCGGCTGGCTCAGACTTCTCCGTAAGCGTGCGATCTGTTGATGGATTCCAAGGTGGTGAAGAGGATTTGATAATTATATCCACTGTCAGATGTAATGGAAAGGGCTCTGTGGGATTCCTCTCCAATCGTCAACGAGCAAATGTGGTTCTAACACGTGCAAGGTACTTCTTTGACGAAGTGCAGCTCAGTTGTAGCACTGTCTGAGTAATTGGTGGTTTTAAAAGTTAATTACTCGTTCTTATGTCTGTGCAGGCATTGTCTTTGGATACTGGGGAACGAATCGACCTTGATTAACAGTAACTCAATTTGGAAGAAGCTAATTCTTGACGCGAAGAAACGAGAATGCTTTTTTAATGCTGATGAGGATGAGAAGTTGGCTCAGGCTATTGCTGCAGCCCAATCGAGTTGCGATGAAGATGATCCAATCGAGCTCCTTGCAAGACCATTGTCTTCACTCAGACTGACTGATCGGACAGCTGAAACATCAACTCCAACTTACAGGTGTGTGCGCCATTTACTTCACAAATTCCATATTTGTAGCATGACCGATTATTATATGTAATTAATGATAAACACAACCCTCTAATTTGGTTTCATTGATTGTTGTAATTTAGTAGTAATTATTATTTGTCTTTAATTTTTACCAGGAATAATTTTCGGCGCGGAGGTAGGTCCAGCAGAGTGATAAGGTGGTGACTAAAGAGGTATATTAATAATTCCTAGTTTTCATGTACAAACATTAGATTGAAGTGCATTTCCTTTTAAGCCATCTTACTTTCCTAAAAGTACTTTGGTGTATGACAATTGACAAACGATTGAACCTTATGAACAGTGCAGAGCAGCTGCGGCAGGTGTTGTGCTTAGCTCCAGGACGGAAGTTGTAGCCATTACACATCGTATGATTTGGGAAGATCGTCGTCATTGCTCGACGTAAAATAGTAGAATTTTATATTGTATCTTTCGTCGCTTGATTTTGCAATTCAACGAACGAAACAGTTATTATTGAAGTATATGATCCGGATTTTATTATATTACTCAGTGGCATCTGTTGGGTTGCATTGTTCAGTACTCCTCCGGGCCTTAAGTTAAAATGTTGGGTGAAATTTGTAGGCATCGAAATTTTGGTAAAATAAATGTTTCCCAACGTATTAAAGTTTCGACGTGCCAGAGCATACATGGCATCCGCCAAGTGTCGTACAAATTGTACATATAGCGTGTGACTCAACGAAATCGGACGAATCATCTCATATTGAAAAGGGGTGCATGAAGGGTATCAGAAGAAATACCCTTGGAGGATTAAACAAGTTTTTTTCTCATTTTTGGGCAATGAAAAGGAAAGCACACTTCAATCCATTACGGATCAAAACAAGTTTATCTCATTTGGGCAATGACAAAGCAAGCACACTTCAAGTTTAAAATTGTATTAAGTGGGAAAATTAGGGCATAAGTTAGGCCACTTCAAGTTTAAAATTATATTAAGTGGGAAAATTAGGCCATAAGTTAGGCCACAAATGGGTGGGAAGAAAAAAAAAATTGTGGTGGTGATTCATTCTCAAAGCCTATAAATAGGCTTCTCCATCAAGGTATCAAACATCCCAAAATCACACATTCAAAGCAAAGCAACAAGAAAGAAGCAAAAGCATTTTTTGGCTTCTCTAGTTTCCTCCATTGCCAAGAGCCAAAACCTTGCGGCCCTTATTCATCCAAGATCAAGTCATCGTGACCCTTGGATCAACAACCCATACATCACAAGAACCAACATGCACCCCTATACGTGCCGGTTCCTCCATTGCCAAGAGCCAAACCTTGCGGCCCTCGTCCAAGATCAAGTCATCGTGACCCTTGGATCAATAACACTACACATCTACAAGCCTCAGAGATCGAATCAGAGGATCAAGTTGTAAAGAGATTGTAACCTTACAAATTCATTTACAAAAACATATTCTTTGTACACGTGTTCTTGTTTTATTTGTCGTAGGATCTTCGTATTTACAAATTTGGCACGCCTAGTAGGACCATCTCTATCTCTCATTTCTTTCTCCGTTCAAGAAATCCAAGCACACCTCGAAGTCAATGGCATCAAAGAAGGAACAAGCCGTTCTTACAACCAAGGGAAGGAGCCTGAGCACTCTTGCTGCGAGAGGAGAATCCATTGGCGTCACAACCCGGAGCAAGGCGAAAGCGATCACCACTCTTCAACATGCCACTTCAAAGTTGGTGCCTATAAGGGAGCAAGGAGAGCGTTAGGGGCATGAGCCCGTCATCAGCCTAACATCCTTGGGTGCACCACAACATGTTGCTGTGGTAAGCACAAGGACACCTCAGAGCGGCTAACAAGGTTCGTTCACATTAAAAGGTTCATGAGAGCGCTCAATGTCACTAGCTTCGGATGCAGACTCAAGCGCGGGAGCTTATTGCAGATCACTAACCAGTAACCGCCGCATGGATGAATGAGACTTCGCCAACATCCTTAATGTCTAAAAGAGAGTCACATCCTTTGGTTGCACAAGTCATGACCCTTGGCGCTACCTCCATTGAAGAATAGCTGGTTCAGATGATTGAGGTGATTGCAAGGATGACCAGAACTTTCAAAGAAAAAGACTTGTAGATTGCTACTCTCATGGATGAGTTGGGGGTGCAGCATGATGAAGGAGTCGGTCTTGACCCAAGGAAGAATCCAAATGACCAGGAGTCTGGCAAAGAAGAGGAGCGTCTGACCAACGAGGCCGGAGATAAGCAGAAACCAGACGTTGAAGCTACATTGATGGGCTCTCTTTCCATCCAGCAGCTCCAGGACATGATCACAAAGACCATCAAGGCACAATATTGAGGCACTTCGAGGGATGCACTGATGTACTCAAAGCTAAACACCAAGAGGATTGATAACTTGCGGATGCCGACGGGGTACTAACCACCAAAGTTTATGAAGTTTGACGGAAAGGGAAGCCCAAAGCAACACATTGCTCATTTCGTTGAAACTTTCAACAACGCTGGGATTGAGGGAGACTACCTCGTAAAGCAGTTTGTTCGTTCTTTGAAGGGAAGCGTGTTCCATTGGTACACAGACCTGGAGCTTGAGTCCATAAACAATTGGGAGCAGATGGAGCGAGAATTCTTGAATCTCTTTTACAGCACTCATCACACCGTCACCATGATGGAGCTTACAAATACAAAGCAGTGGAAGGATGAGCTAGTCGTTAACTACATCAACTGATGGCACACTCTAAGTCTTGACTGCAAATACAGACTCTCAGATTTCCCTGATCGAGATGTGTGTACAAGGCATGCATTGGGAATTACACTACATTCTTCAAGGCATTAAGCCCTAAACCTTTGAAGAGTTGGCTACCTATGCCCACGACATGGAGTTGAGAATCGCCAACTATGGAAAGAAAGAGTTGAACGCCGACCACAAGAAGGACAAAGTTTTTGACCCAAAGGTGGAAAAGGTTGCAAGGAAACCCACCAGGGAAACAATGGCAGTAACTTAACGCTCATCAAAATCTTTACACAAGACATAACTCCTGTCAAGATCTCCTTAAAAGGTAAAAAGAAGGAAGAGAAACGGAATGAACCTTTTTGGTGACCAGGAGAGATGTAAGCGCACCTTGAAGGAGCTTAAAGAAAAGACTTACCCATTCCCTGACTTCGATGTGGCTACCATGCTGGAAGATTTGCTCGACAAAAAGGTGATTAAGCTGCCCGAGTGTAAATGACCAGAAGAAATGAATCGGGTGAATGATCTAAAATACTGCAAGTACCATTGCATCGTCGGTCATCCGATAGGCAAGTGCTTTGTGCTAAAGAAGTTGATCATGAAACTTGCTCAAGAAGGAAGAATCAAGCTAGACCTTGAGGAGGCTGCAAAGGTAAACACGACGAACATTGTGTTTGGATCCTTTGATCCGGTGCCTCTTTGTTTATCACCAGTCAAGCCTCGACCACAGTCGTCAAAAGGGAAACATGAAGTGCTTCATGTGAGAATAACAAACACCATGAATGAACTAAGTCGCTTAAGTAACATAGACCTCCCTAATGGTTTGTCAACTAATGACAATGAAGGATGGACATTAGTGACACGAAGGAAGGCACGTCATGTCACATCCCAATCCGCATAGCAAGATATTGTCTATTTTGGGCCACACCTTCACGAATTTGTTCTTGGGTTTCGACACGTGAACTTCCCAGAGGGTCACCTATCGTAGGACTGCTCTAGCCCAAACTCACTTAACTTCGGAGTTCTTATGGGATCTGGAGCCAGTGAGTTCTTAAAACGAATCTTGCAATGGGAGGTGAACATGTACATATAAGGCATAGAGGATACTTTCCCCTGGGCGATGTGGGATCTTACAATCCACCCCCTTCACGGGCCCGACGTCCTCGTCGGCACACTTTCGGCCAAGGAGTGACTCTAATACCAAATTGTCACATCCCTGCTCGCCTCCGCCGTAGCACGATATTGTCCGCTCTGGGCTTACCATTCCCTCACAGTTTTGTTTTTGGGTTTCAACACGAAAACTTCCCCGGGGAGGGGTGGTCACCCATCCTAGGATCGTTCTCGCCCAAACTCACTTAACTTTGGAGTTCTTATGGGATATGGAGCCAGTGAGTTCCCAAAAGGCCTAGTGTTATAGGGAGGGGAGCATGTACATATAAGGCATATCACCCCACTTCCTTGGTTGATATGGGATCTTACAATCCACCCCACTTAAGGGGAACCCGGCGTCCTCGCCAATACATTCGCACCGAACGGCAGAGTGGCTCTGATACCAAATTGTCACATCCCAGTCCACATAGCAAGATATTGTCCACTTTAGGCCACGCCCTCATGGATTTGTTCTTGGGTTTCGGCATAAGAACTTCCTTGGGGGTCACCCCTAGGACAGCTGTCGCTTAAACTTAGTTAACTTCGGAGTTCTTATGGGATCGGAAGCTAGTGAGTTCCCAAAAGGCCTCGTGCTATAGGGAGAGGAGCATGTACATATAAGGCACATCACCCCATCTCAGTTGGTCGATGTGGGATCTTACACGTCAATCGCAACCGTAAGTTGCTCACATAAGAAAGCTAGGGCAAGAAGGAAGTCTTCATTGTCATGATTCGAAGACTCAACCAAGAGATGCCGCAAGGATGACAAAGCCGACACGTAGAGAAGAGCCTAAGATCTGGAAGCACCAAACTCCAATGGCCCTACAAGAGTACTTTCCCAAAGGATTCCTCAAACACAGTCTAATCACGGTTGCTTGTTACTTGGTTAAGGAGGAAGAACATTTAAGTGAAAAGGATTCTATCAATAAGCAAGAGGAGGTTCCTCCACAAACAGAAGGCGTGCCTTTGCATTTTGGTGTGAAAGAAGCATTATAGTTGCCTGACGAAATACAAAGGGCATTAGCGAAAGCATTGATGGATCTCGACAACTACTTGTCAAAGGCATGCAAAGTTGGAGGTTTAGAACTTCGACCTCATAAATATGCTATGTGCTATGCTACATGTGTTGTCATTAACTTCACCAACGAAGACCTATTGTTAGGGTCGAAACCACACAATCATTCATTTTTTGTCTCAGGGTACGCAAGAGAGCGAAAGGTAGAGCGCATGCTCGTTGGTGGAGGCTCAGCCATAAACCTCATGCCGAAGTTAACAATGATGAAGATAGGAATCAAAATAGACGAGCTGTCTTGGAGCTGCCTTCTAATCCAAGATTTTAACCAAGGTGGGCAAAGGGTGATGGGCACGATTAGGGTCGAGATAGTGATTAAAAAACTAAAGTTGAATACGTTGTTTAACGTGATCAATGCAATGACTTCTTTCAGCCTACTCTTGGGGAGACATTGGATTCATGAGAATGGAGTTATACCGTCAACTCTTCATCAATGCTTGAAATTCTACAGAAGTGGAGTGAAAACAATACATAGTGATACTAAGCCATTCACCAAAGCAGAGTCACATTTCGTTGATGCCAAGTTTTACATGGATGAAGACATAGTGCCAGAAGCCCTCCCCATGGAGATCCAATCAACAGGCAAAGCCTTG